CATTAACAGCAGCTCCTCCTCACCTTGTCTTTGCCGGAGCTCACTCCATTGCCTGAGGAAAGAACCCTGAGAAGAGAAATAAAAAGAACAAACAGTATAATAATTCTCAAACATTCAAAATGAAGTACATAGATTTATGCTGTAATAAATTGACTGATTTTCAGCATTATCTGGACACTTAAAAACAAAGTGTGTATTTAGGCTTCAGGACCATCAGAATCTGGTGAAACATAGAACACCACCTTCTTTCATTGCACTGTTTAACACTGAATCTGCCCATAAGCCAATTTGCAAATCCCACACGTAATGAAAAGAGCAGCGCCACATCATTTCTACACGGCTTTAAATATGCAAACGTTTCGTCGCTGAGAAAGTACTGTCACAGTGCCGGCCGGTCCAATCAGGTCTGATGGAAAGTCCCATCGATCATCATCTAAACTCTGACTCAGCAGTTCCCATGAAGCTTAAAGCTCTGACTGGCATCACGTCTTCGCCCACACACACATTCCTGTAACAAAAGGCTCTGTTCAAGACTACAGCAAGGCCTTCTGATCAGACTGAAGAAAAATGTGTGACACAGTGTGTGTGACCGTCTCAGCACTTCACAAAATGACGTTAAATGGTGACACACGAATATCTCTGCATCTTATAAGTCATTTACACGCCTGCACGCTGTTCTTGGTCATAGCAGGGCTCCCTGGCAACTGTGGCATGACAAGCCATGACTGAAGTTTAATTTAAAACACGTTCACTAATGTAGACACTCTACAGGTAAAGCTGAATAACACAGTCACTTAAACAGTCCGATCAGGTCATGTCAGCACCGATGTACTCACTCCTGGGGGTTGAACGGTCCTGGAAAACACAAAGAACAAACACTCAGCATTGTGTCCACATGTATGCTTGAGTATGAACATCATATCTTTTCCAGCCGATGTGTACGTGATAGCATCACACACAGCGGGTTCTGGTGCTGCTCAGACCTCCTCCTTGTTGTGCACTTTACTGAGCTGCTGCTTTTTAATAGATAAACTGACATTCTTACTCTTTATTGCTATGTCTCTAGACAACCAAGAAAAAGCAAAAACACAGTTTGGACATTTAGCAAAATGGCCTCCACAATCAACAGATCTGAATACAGCAGAGCACCATTCAGGTGCTTCCCACCAATCAGCAGCAACTCTGTCAAAATGATTCAACAGTTACCAAAACTGCTTCCACGACCTCATTGAACATCTGTCATCAAGAATAAATGCATTTCAGAACTGTAAAGGGCGTCTGAGTGCATCCAGGCTGTACATGTGTGGCTGTGTGGTCGTCGTCCCTACCTCTGTTCTGCATGGTTCTCCTGGAGTACCGTCGGCTGGGTCTCCTCTCAAAGGAGGCTGAGCGCCTTGCTTTGTTGGCCTTGGTCGTCTGGTACTCCGTCTTTCCACTGGTTATAGAAACAGAATAATTTCTTTTGCACTTGCAAAGATTATTTGTCCCCAACAAAACTATTTAACACAAAAGAACCTTTCTAGATTATTTTTGAATCTCCTCATCAGAAAAACAGCCGGCACAGCAATGACCCCTGTTCAACTCTGGATCCATCCAGGCGATAACCTTCTGCTAACAACAAACCCTGTGTTAAATCAACATTAGCGCCACTGCTTATCCAACTGGGTAATGTTTAAACACCCAGGGGGGAGCTAGCTGCCTGCTGCACTGTGTTGACGCTGGTGCCTGTCTAGTACCACGGCAAGTATCTGTGTGCACACATATGGGGTTTTGCATCTGCAGTACTGTACGTCAAACTAGGATTATCTTGCTGGTACACACAAACACAACAGCACAGAAACAAACACATGGCTCTGTAAATGTGTGGGCCTTCACTCCTCAGCAGTGTCCCATCCCTAAACGAGCCCAGCAGCACGGCTTTCTGCTGCAGCTAGAAGTCAACACGTGTCAGGATGTCAGTCCACAACACAGAGCGCTCCAGTTAGCCACGCCTTCTCTGATAGGTAGCAACACACCGGGACTTCTACCGTCACGACACACCAGCAACTGGAGGTTTTAAAAACACAATTAGTAGAACTGCTTGTCACAACTTGCGTGCACGATGGTGCTGAATTTATTAAGCTTCTTGTGACAACAGCAGCTTTTAAACTTGTTTTTACAAGCGACACTATTTTTATGTTGATCAGTGAAAAAAAATCCAACTTTTATTTCACAATAAAACCTGAACAACTACGTGGGAGTCGACATATTTCAAAGGCTGTGATGCAAAGCTGAGAATCACTGTTTAAGTCTCATTCCTAAAAAAAAACCTGTGCTGCTCCTTTTGCTGTTGGCTTTGCCATCAGAGAACTTTTAAAACCAGCATCTCTGGTCCAGCTGCAGCCCTTGTGTACACTCCCTGAGCCCCGAGCACACAAAGACGCATGGTGTTGCCCTGGACCTCAGTTACCTGTATCTGAAGCGTGATCCCATGCGTATGAATCCAGAGCGAGCAGAGTTCTTCTGTACCGGCCCTCTCAACCTGAAGAAAGCGTGGTGTTCCACAGCACACTTCCACAGGTGCTTACAGGCCTTGGGGTGGTCCATCCTGAAGACAAATGTGTGCTCCTGCTCTTTACCCTAAGGACAATCAGTAAAGGGTAAATTTGGGCAATACAGAGAAGAGGACACATCGTCAGTACAGCACCTTAGGAGCTCCTGTGTGAGCTTCTCTGGTTGGAATACAACTAGGAACCGTGGAACCGGGACTTCTGGCAGGTTAAAGGGACCCTGCAGAGTTTATGAGCAGTGTCACACACCAACACACAGTGTAACCTCTGGGAGTCCTGAGGTGTAGCCTCTGGGAGTCCTGGTGCTAATGTGGCACACAGTCATCTTGTTAGAGAATTTAAGTGTTTACAGTAAATTCCTTTGGAAATAAAAGGCTACCCTGCAGTACACAGCATCCATCTGTTCAGACAGAGTCAGGAAGCAAGATCTGTGTGTGTGTGTGTGTGTGTGTGTGTGTGTGTGTGTGTGTGTGTAGGAGAATGCTGCATACCAGAAATACCAGAGGGGGCAGGCTTCTTTATTAACCTCCCTCAGAGACCCCCGGGGACGGACATAAACAGACTCTCAGGACTACAACAGCAGATCAAACCTGTTTCATGTGGATCTGGAGCTGACCTCTTGTGGGGCGAATGATGCTTCAAACAAATGTTTCTTCAGAAACAAAGCAAGCTCTGTAGGTTGTTGTGTTTGCTTTAAACTGATTTAAAAGAGAAATGACTTGCACGGTCAGCCTCAGCATATAATGTTGTCTTTGTCCCGTCAGCTGATGCTTGAACTGAAATGAGTCAAAATGTGTGTGATGTTTGTTAAGAGAACGGGACACAAGAGATGAACCGTCTGTAACAGAGCAGCTCGAGCTAGTCATAGAGGTAGTAAGCTGCCTTCACTCCTCATGAGAGCCCTCCATGCACACCTTCTGGCCATGGAAGTGTGTCTACAGACAAATGACTACGTCCTATGAAGAACACTGAAGTGAAATGAACTGGTCACACACTGTGTGTATCTTATGACCTTGAGTGCCAACAGAACAGCGTGCTGCGAGTACATTCATTGTAATTATCTGCTGCTGTACGAAGGGGAAATGAGATACTGCTATCACGAGTGAGTACTGACAGAGACTGAAAGTATGCAGTGGGTTTCCAACATTCCACCGGCTGCCAGCTAGCTCAGGGTGTGTGTGCTCATGTTCACCTGCTCGTCATCCTCCACAACCACAAGCGTCAGTTTGCTCTTCTTAAAATCCAGACGGGTAATCTTGGGCCTACGACAGTTAAATAACAACAGAGTAGAGGCAACACATACAAAGAAATGATTAAAGTACTCTAATAAAGCATTGAAGGACATCTTTCATGTAAATAGGTCACAGCCAGACGTACCAGAAGAAGAGCCCAATCTTGGTTTCTCCTTCAAACACCAGCACTCCAGTCGGTGTCAAACCCAGACTGTACTCATTACCATCTCTTGCCTGCAGGGCACAAACGGGTGACTGAGAATCCACACAGACATATGCTACTGATGTGCAACTCCATGCACGTGAAGCAAATACATTCAGGTGGTATAGTACACGCTAGTGAGAGTGTGTGTGTGTTACCTTGACCATGTGCATGTCAACCCCGTACATTTCCAACCACTTGGCTTTGTTCAGGTAGTTAATCTCAGCCTGGGCTGGTGTCTGACCTCTGAAACAGGTAAAGGAGGACTGAGAGGTACAAATGAAGAACGCATGCATTACAGCTTACAGAAGGGATTGTAATCAGTGCTGTGGCTCGCTGTAACCCTAACCCCACCCAGCTACAACCAGAGAGCACAGAAAGAAGCGCAGTCAGTCCGTAGATGTCTGTCATCGACCGTAGTGGACTCACTGTATGATTGCAAACCCTTCTGCTCACTACTAGTTAGAGGAAAGGCTCACCTGCACTCCTTCCATGTGTTATATATGGCCAGCTCCACGTCCTCTGTCTGGTTAGGGATGAAGCGAAATTCTGACACCAGGTCCAGATTATGCTCTAATGGGTCACAGTCTCCGAGCTCGGCTGGAAACACACAGACATTCACGATGAAAGACTGGTTGGTAAAACTAACCACATCCTTAAATAGAACCTTTAACCCCTGGAAGAGGTCCGGGGAACGGTGCCAATGCTGTAGCAGCAGATAATCGCTAACCTAATGACAGAATGACCAATAAACCCTCTCTCAGCACACACCGCCAGCACCGAGGGAGGAGCTGATGAGCAGAAGGTCTTTACCAGCTGAATTACAGGACAAGAACGTGAACAGTGTGGGCAAAGCAAGAAAAAAGAAATGCTGAGCACCAAGGCACAGAGAAACTGGATCGGGACTGAGCAGTCTGATTACAGTTTCCAGTCGCTGGGCAGACCGTTCTGCTGGTCGAGCTGTTAGCACAGCCTCAGGATACAGGGGAGAGAACAGATGATGTTCATCCTATCACCATACCAGAGAACGTCGTGGACCAACAACATAATTCAGAAGAACAGTGGAAGATACAGACAGAAAAGCTCAACTGAGGAAAGAGAGAAAACAGAAAGGCTGCTGGATTAGGGGGCCTCCGAAGAGGACGGAGCACTAATGAGCTGGCATTTACCCCACAGTGACTGTGTGTGTGCATCCAAGGGTGTGCGCACGCAATCCGACTTCATTAATGTCTATAGTGACTCAATCTTTGTTCCTCTGAAGAACCTTTGAAATGGCTCAAACTGCTCTTGTAGGTAAATGACAATCAGTACAGTTAAAAAGTATGAGACTGTATGGGCATGAGAAGATCTGGGGTTACTGCTGCTGGAAGAGCACGTCAGATCCATTTCTGCTCCACTAACGTTTTTATCGAAGCGACTGCATGCAGCTATGCAAGCCTCAGCTGAAGCAGACATCAGGCTGTGCTGCTGCAGACATCTATCCAACGCTGCTTTACTGCTCGAGGAAATAAGACGGGGAGAAACGTTCCCGTAGTGGCAGAAGAATTTAAACGTTTTCAGCCAAACAGGGGAAATCCCATCTCTGTCACATGCACCTGCATCACACTGTTCCTGTCATGGTCCAAAGCCACTACACACTTTGATTTGCAATTCTATTGTGGTAGAGGAGTCTACGGGCCTCCGTGACCATGGCAGCCATGTTGCTAGGAGTGTTACTCAAAGGAGATGGTGATTTACAAGGACAGCCATGACCGTTGGAAAAGTTCAAAGAACGGCCTTGTGGGACAGCGACATCAACAAGCGCAGCCCTGCCGGTCAGCTCACGGCTCTGCCACGGCTCAACCGAGATCGCCGGCTAAAGGAAGTGCTGGGCGTCGCAGCGTTGCTAGTCGGCCACAAGGGACCAGATTTCAACCTAAACCATTATTCAGGTTGTGTTCAGCGCGTTCATTTCCAAATAACGAAATCAATACAAAATCTAAGAGCCAACTTAAGTCAGCTTGAATTTGAGTAGGTTTACATCAGTACACAAAGCACTGTGCAAAACATAATGCCCTTTTAGCCCTTAGCCCCTTTGAACCTTTCAAGCTTAGGAATACCTGAGGAATACCTACAGTACCGCCCCAGAACCGGTTCCTAGAGTGAGGATGTAGTCACTGTGAAGGAAAACTCTTCTTGCTGTGTCATTATACATGGCTCTGATCCAACACTGACAAATGATTGTATAATTAACACCACAGCAAGCGGCACAAATGCACTAAACATTTTCTACACATGGGATGAGTCTGGGAGAGCCTCTGGGATGCTGCGCAGCAGACCTGCATCTGTCTGTGGAGATCCTCAGTCATCCAGGTCATGGTTGTTCTGGTAGATTCATCGTAGCAACTGGACTTGCTTGAGTTGGTTGAAGACGTTTCACGTTCCACCTCTCATCCAAGAGGCTTCATCAGTTCCAGAACTGGTAGAGGTGGAACGTCTTCAACCAACTCATCAGGTCCAGCTGTTACGATGAATCTACCAGAACAGACATGCATCTGAACCGGCCAGCATGTTCAACGTTACTCCTGCAGTGGACAAACATCGGCAGCCGTCACACAGCGGTTTCCAATCACTAACTTGGTTGTTGGTCGTGTGCCTTTACAGAATAGAATCATTTTTATTGATTCCCCATTGGGGGAACTGTACAAGCCACAGCAGCATCCAAAAATATAGAAAGAAGGCACAAGAAAATAACCATAATTCAGTAATATGCATTCAGTGTCTGCACACAGCAGGTCCAAGTCAGTCCGCATACTGGCTGAATGTGGAGAGAGAGCGATGTCTGGTTAAAGTCTCCTGAGATGACCATCAGAGACTGAGGATGTGATGTTTGCAGCTGGGACACTGAAGTGTGGATGAATTCACAGGCTGCAGCAGCATCAGCCTACAGGGGAGGATGTAAACTGCAACCGTCAGGACGTGTGAAAACTCCCTCAGCAGGTAAAACAGCCACAAACCAGACGCCAGCAGTTCAACATCCTTCATGCAGCGCCGCTCTTTAATGCTAACGTGCTAGCATTACACTACATACAGTTCACACACTTTCTGTTCAGACTGAAGTAATACATGTAGTTAAGCTGCTGCAGTGTGTAAATTCATTGAGAGACTCCAAAACCAGTGTTTAAGTCTCTGTATGTGTTCACATGCTTGGACCATAAAGTTAATTCTGTTAGATCAGAGTTTTAGAAATCCCACAGTACTTCACATGTAGATGCAAAATACAAATCTGAAAAGGTTGACATGCACATACACGTGTAACCCAGCAGTGCAGCAGGTTTATACAACCCTCCCAGCTTCAAGGAGGTGCTCACTCGTGTCACCAATTCAGCCTCTGACCAAATGCGAAATACAGTCACGATCTCCTTCTGTGTTCCTGAGGTATGGCGGCAAATAACGGGCAGAAGGTGTGACGTATGATGTCAGAGTAAAGCTGACCTTAGACCTTTTGAAGTGTCATCACTTCACCATTTTATTGCGCTCCACATGTGGGGGGAAGTTGTGATAACTAGCCTGGGAAATACTGACAGGATGGCCAAAAAATTCTGAATCAGTTCGTCCTTGAGTCCAAGTGAACGTTTGGGCCACATTTTTAAAAAATGCCTCAAGGCGTTCCTGAAATACTGTATTCACAAGAACGGGACACAAGGACAAGCCTCCGGCCACAGCTGCTGCCAGCACGGACGCATGAAGACAAAGCTCAGGAGAATCCTGGATAGCTGCTGTGCTTACCCTGTAGCGAGAAGGCCGCCAGCTCCACCGCTGTGTCAAACGGACATTCTAGCCTACAGACACAGACATGCAAGAGTCAGTGACAGCAACATTCATCAACCCAAAGCACTGCCACAGGCTACCGACGCTCCCTGTGACCTAATCATGTCTACCACTTCCTGGAAGCATTCAGTCCAACAATTAAAAGAACAGTTCATTTCCTGTGGAAAATGAATACATGAAGCACATTCTCAGTGTATTAAGGACTAATTCTAGTCCTCTGACCAACATGTAATCCTGTCAGGCTCTGACAGCCACCACGACTGATGAGTTCATGTTTAAAGGGATCAATGAGTGATGAAGGTAATGTGTTGTCACAGCAGGGCTACTGAACTGGAACAATATTGATCATTAAATTAAATATTTAACTGCTGTTTTTTTTCTCCCTTTGTTCACCTCTGAATAATCAGACAACATCCCACTCAATATGCTGAACAAGCACGGGAGTAGAAACTCTGAGCCACAGCATGTCGTCTGGTGGGACAGAGGATTTATGGGAGGACAGCACATTAACCGGTAAAAGCCAAAGTATGTGACTGAGAAGCACTTCATCTATGTGACGGCAAAGTTAACATCTTCATATCTGGTTAGGGCTGGGGTTAGCACATGAGGCAGGACACCGCTGAGTTACAATGCAGGGAAAAAACCACATACTTCCCACTGAGGATGTCTTGCTTTAGCTGTAGCACAAACAGGTATCTGAAAGAAAAACACAAACACCAGCAAATATGGCAATTTTCAGTAAAACTTTTAACGAATGCAGAAAACAACCGTTTAAGCCAGGCTGGTTGCTAAAACTAAAACGCTTCAACCCTAACCCTAAGATGCTGCCAAAAACCTACGCATGCAGGAAAGCGTATGTTTATGCTACGTAGCACAGAAGACACGGCCCGTGTGTTCTGGTAGAACACAGTGCACTCACGGCCTTTACATACATAACTAAGACTTTGAAACTGCTAAAACACCTGGCCGTCAACACGTGGCTGTGAGGCAGTGAGCTGTGTGACTCACCTGGTGAGCTCCTCGTGCAGGTTGTTCGGTTCTGACGAGTAGAACTTGACTCTCATGTGAAGGCAGTATGGTGGGCCGACTAAAGGACAGACAGAAACCACAGCTACGTAACAGCGATCAGGTTGAAGAACAAACTGCAATAACTGAAGCACCACAGTGAAAACACCCGGACGGTGTATCGGTATCCATCTAAACGCATCACACACCACCTGCTCCTAACAGGAGGAACAGAGGGCCTACTACACAGGGTGTTTCACTATATAGAAATAAAGTGGTCATGATGGTGGGAGAAGGAATGGGTACAGGCAGGACCTCTGGACTTACTTTTTACTTGCTTTTTGATGCTTTTGGTGACATCAAGCCAATGCTGAAACAGACATGGAGGTGACAACAGTTAAAACAACATATTGGCCTTTTTCTATACCGGCCTTTATTTAACACACAAACACTGAACACCTGTAAGGTAGGACGGACACACAGGAAGCAAGCTGAGCTGATGAAAAACACATCCTGAAGTTCTGCTCTGTGCAGTAACTCCTGTTGGAAGTTCAGCTCTATGGGGCACCAACAATGTCAAGGAGAGGAGGAGGAGCTGGTGGGGGTCGGGGGGTGGGGTTAGTTAGAGAGAGAGACATAGAGA